ATCGATAGTCTGTAATTGGAACCATAACTCTTATTTATTCAAATTGTATTAATATATAAAGACCAAGTGTAACCTATATCATCGTTAAATCTTATCTTATAAAACCRGTGRAACTTCAAAATYGTTAAAATTCATGGCTCCCGCCGCATTGCGCGGGTACACAACTAGTCAGGTTCATATGTATAACAGCTGTAATGAAACAAGTTTATATTCATATGTATACATAACTGTTTGTAATGAACAGATTCATATGTATAACAACTGTAATTAAATAGGTTCATGGGTCATATATGATGCATCAGGTTCATATGTATAACAGTTGTAATGAAACATGTCATAAAACATGTTTTCTCCCGTTTTCCTTCCGTGTCTCCAATGTGATTTTTTTCTTTTTTACTTTACTTATTTAGTTTGTTTCAATATCGGCTTTTCATTAAACAAAAATGGATGAATGTGATTAGTTTGTAAGGTTTGTATAAAATGAATGGTTTGCAAAGTAAACCTTACATACATACATACATACATACATACATACATACATACATACATACATACATGCATACATACATGGGATCATGTGAGACCAGCTTGTTTTGAAGAGACCCGTGAGACTATTTTTTTACACTTGAAACTTCATAGTAAAACACTGTGAATGTTTGGATTTTTTTTTACCTTAATAGTGTTGCTGTGAAGTTTCAAATGTAAAAAAGTAGTCTCACAGGTCTCACCAAAACAACTTGCTCTCACGTGAACCAAACCATATACATATATATATTTATATATTATGAGGGTACGTACTTGCGCAATTCAACAAGATACATTTTGATTTTAATATTTCGTTTTATTTTTTATCTCAGTCAATGTTATAATATGGTCTTATATGATCTTTAAAAAGCGAATGTTTTTATTTTTAAATAAAATATAAATTTAAAGATATCATAAAAAATTGACAAGAATATATATAAATATCTCAATTAATTGGGTTGCAAAGGTTGTACAAATACACAAGGTTGTAAAAGAAATATACCCTATATATATATATATATATATATATATATATATATATATCAATACTAGTTTCAAATTAACTATTTAATATAGAACTAATTTATATTCAGTTTAATAATATAAATTTTTATAAAGATAATAATTAATTATTTCATTAGAACTCAATAATTATCTTAATTATATTTTAATTTTTTTATATTTTAAAATGAAACGTTTATCATCTATTTGATTATGCTTATTTGCAGTTAGTTACACGAATTCAAACATAGAGCTTTAATAAGTTGTAGTTACGCACAATTATTTACTTGTAATCTTGAATTTTAAGTAATTACGCACAATTATTTACTTGTGTGTGTGTATATGTGTAAAACTTAAATAATGTTTGTTGAGTTTTTGTATTTATTTTTAGCTATATGTATAATATAGGTTATGATAAAAGATTCACCACAAAGAATCTAACAGGAGAAAATTTTTGAAATCGTTTTTTAGCAACAACAATTGAATGTGCCGGAGAATAAGAATGATGTTGATAGATACTTGGTTGACGAATCAATTATACTTTGATGGAAAGAAAATATTAATAGTTATAACATTTCACTACAATAATTTTAGGTTTAAACCTAAATTAAGTTCCTTCGTTACGTTAAATTAAATTATAATAAAAAATTAAATTAAAAATAATAAACAAACAAGAACTTTTAAATAGTTAATTTGATATTTTTTGCAAATTTCATATGATGTTTTCAAATTTATATTTTATTCAAAAATAGAAACATTATTGCTTTTTCAAAAACCACATAAAATCATATTATATCGACATGGATAAAAAATAAAATGAAACATTGAAATGAAAATGTGTCTCGATGCATTGAACGAGTACCCTTCTAGTAATTTTAAATAAGTCGGGTGGGTTGGGATTTCTCCAAACCACCATAATTGTGGGTTGGGTTGTATAAATGTCGTAAATCGTCTAGTCCAACCCAACCCGCATACACCCCTAGTAGGAAGAATAAAAAAATATAAAAAATAATTTCATCTTTCATAAGTAATTATTTTTTAGAATTCTTGAAATTTGGAGATTTTCACCTTTTTTTCTCATATTTTTTCCATTTTAGAGAGTAGGCTTTGAAGAATCTGTTAAAAAAAAAATCCTAAAATCTTTATTTCTAAAGAATTTGTTGAAGATACTCTATTCAACATAATCTAAAATAAAAAAATATATATGAATTCAAAAGTTTACTCTTATAATATCCGAAATCAAAAAAGATTGTGAATTCTTCTTTTCACATTGAAGATATTTCCAAAATTTCAAGATAGAGAATATATATTAATTGTTCTTCTAGAAAAGAAGTGCATTAATGCTATATATAAATGACCTGATTTGTATTTGATTCCTCCCTTATATATAGTTATATAGATATAAACCATTTCAATTTCATTGAATCATCAGTATTCTATTCAATTGAAATGGCACATTGGTTAACGATTTTTCAGCTCTACTTGATACTACTAGTTGTGCTTGTGGTACAATTCTCCGAAGCTAACCGACCTAGTTTGTTTAATATGTTTAAGCATCAACCACAAGAAAATAGCACGACATGGGCAGTCCTCGTAGCCGGTTCAAATCAGTATTTTAATTATCGTCATCAGGTAATTCACATTTCCTGATTTTTGGTTTAATTATTAGTTGATCAAGATGTATGCAAGCTAAATAAATTTGCACATTTCCTAGAGATTCTCTGTTGTAAATGTGTTGTATGACCCAAATGAATAAAATGGGTTGTCTTATAATATGTGTCATCAATCCAGGCAGATGTTTGTCATGCTTATCAAATACTAAAACGGGGAGGATTGAAGGATGAACATATAATCGTGTTCATGTATGATGATATTGCCAACAATCAATATAACCCAAGGCCAGGCGTCATAATTAACAGTCCCAACGGCTCGGATGTCTATGCTGGTGTGCCAAAGGTAATCTAAGAACCTCTTCACTAATCTCCCAATAATTTCTTCAAAATAATAAGCAAAAAAAATATGTAATAGTTTGTTATTTTTGGAGATTTTTTACATTAATTATATAAAGGGAGTTTAAAGTACAAAAACGTATAATTGTTACAAACAATACAAAACAATCTCAACCGTCTATATAAATGATCAATGATGTAGATTAAATCGGCTCCTAAGTTTATTTTCAACCTCGTATTTAACTAATGTAATAATCGCTTTTAAATTTCAAAATAAACAAAATCAATGGTTAAAATTTAATTTTAAAGAATTACATGGTTTATACTTTCGATTTATATATTATTAAACTACTAGAAGGGTACTCGTGCAATGGAACGAGATAGTTTTTGATTTTGATGTTTCGTTTTATATTTTGGATCTATTGATGTTATAATCCGATTTTATGTGGTTTTGTGAAAAAAAAGAAAATATTTTTATTTTTTAATGAAATATAAAAAAAATTGAAAAAAATAATCGATATTAGTATCAAGTTAACTATTTAAAAGTTCTTGTTTTTGTATAATTTCATTAATTCAAATTCTTATTACAATTTAATTAAAGTTTAAAAGCGAACTAATTTATTTTTGGTTTAATAAAATAATTTTTTAAATATAATAATTAAATATTCTGTTAGAACTCAATAATTATCTTAATTATATTTTAAATAGATGTATATCATGTATTTCATTATTTTTATCTGCAGTTAATTACAAAAATTTAAAAATGAAGTTTTAATAAGTTGTATTTATGCAAAATTACTTATAATCTTGAATTTTAAATACTATTCATCGATAAACAGTATTTCATGTATAAAAAATGATTTTTAATTTTTTTATCAAATACTTTATAATATAGTATAGATTTTATGCTCAACACTCTTTTAAACAAACTTTTTATAAATAAAAAATTAATTAATGGAAAATCAAACAAATAAGTTCAAAACGATGAATGACGCATTTTCTCTCCAATAAAAATAAATTCCCATTTGTCGATATACATAGAAATTTTTTTACTTTCTCTTATCCTTTTTCCGTTTTGAATATGGATTTTATTGCGGTCAACTTTTATTACAAGAAATCTCGATCTCATTTTGAACATTTTGTGCTTCAAATATCCCTTAATTATAAGTTCAGACTTCTTCAATTTCATTGCTTTTAAACATTCCGAATTCTGTCACAAGTATCATTAGTTCAATCGCAAATATTGTTAGCGTTTATCGCATGAGACATAAACAACGGAGAAGATATACAAACAGACACAAAATGCATAAATTTACCCATTGAATTGAATCAAACTATGATGATTTTTAAAACATCCGTTAAACTCATGTTAGGATTATACGGGTGAAAGTGTGACGGCAGCCAATTTCTATGCCGTTCTTCTTGGCGACAAAACAGCTGTGAAAGGTGGAAGCAAGAAAGTTGTAGCGAGCAAGCCTAATGATAAAATCTTCATATTTTACTCTGATCATGGTGGCCCTGGAGTTCTTGGTATCCTGTTTCTGCCTTTGACTAATTTGCTTTCGTAGATCGATGAAAATCAAAATATTAAATCGTTATTTGTTAACACAAGTATTGTGCAAATTTTGATAGGGATGCCGGTCTTGCCTATCATATATGCAGATGATTTCATCCACGTTTTGAAAACAAAGCATGCGAGTGGTACCTATGACGAGATGGTAAGAATGACAGATCCTGATCATCTTGATATATCGTTGATCATCTTGTTATGATATGTGAAACCTCCTTTGGATCTTTCTATAAGTCTTTTTTGAAAGAAGTGAAGTTCTTACATATATACAGATTTGAAGGTTTGTGTCTAACTTATATGGGATTCATCGATCATGACATTGAAAGAACCATTTTGGTGTTAATGTAGGTCATATATGTAGAATCATGTGAAAGTGGAAGTATTTTTGAAGGTTTGTTGCCGACAGATTTGAATATTTATGTGACAACTGCTTCGAATGCGGACGAAAATAGCTGGGCCACGTATTGTCCCGGTATGAATCCTCCCCCGCCTCCAGAGTTCGATACCTGCTTAGGTGATTTATACAGCATTTCATGGATGGAAGACAGGTATTTTTTTTTCCCAGTCTATTTCTTGTGGCCTACTTCCTATAGCGAATTTATAGCAACAGGGAACGAGAAACATAAATGACTATGAATCTATTTTCATGGTGCTTGATGAAGCCTGTTGATTTGATATCTAACTAGCTGTTTTTGTGACTTTTGGTTCTTAGTGAGTCAGAAGATTTAAATAAAGAAACTCTGAAAAAACAGTACTTGAAGGTTGGTTATTGGGGTTTTCTTTTTGCTAACTTCATTTAAATTTTAAGGCTTTCTAGGAGCTAATTATGCGTGATAAAAGAATATCTGAATCAAAAATCACACAAAATGTTTGTAGGTGAAGAAAAGGACATTCAATAACCACTCTTCTGAGGGATCTCATGTGATGCAATATGGTACTCTACACATAAGCAATGAGGTTGTTTCCGTATATCAAGGCTCCGCTCCTAGCGAAATATCCATGAACCCATTTCAATCTTTGGATGTCTTGGGTGTTGTCAACCAAAGAGACGCAGATCTGTATTCCATGTGGAAAATGGTATTTATGTAGTACAGTAACAAAAATCATAGTTCTAATTATAATTGGGCTACCAATCGCTGATAGAACTATCTTCGAAAACTAAAAGTAAATATGGAATAATTTTTTGTGGATTTCATGTTCTATGCAGTACAATAAATCAACAGAAAAACCACAACAAAAGGAGAAACTACTCAAGCAAATTAAGGAAATAACAGCACATAGGGCACATTTGGACAGTAGTGTCGATGTTATCAAAGGCTATTTATTAGGCAAAGGACATGGAACAGTGAGAGGTAAAGGATCGGCCCTTGTGGATGATTGGGGATGTCTTAAATCTATGGTAAAAAACCATCTTTTGCGTTCATTTGGACATGGTTTTGCTTGTTTTTTTTTATTAACTTGTCTAACTTTTGATTGTTGAAGGTTCGAATATTTGAGACAAATTGTGGATCATTAACTCAATATGGCATGAAATACACCCGAGCATTTGCAAATCTGTGCAACAATGGTGTTACCACAGAAGCCGTGGACAAAGCTACAAAGGCAGCATGTCGCGGATATAACATGGGCAAATGGAATCCTGCAAACGTTGGTTACAGCGCCTGATCCTGTATAATGTAAAAGTAAATTAAATGCTAATAAGGATGGATAAATCGTTTTTATTTCAAAGAAAATCATTTGCACAATCTTGTCTACATAGCCAATCAAAGAGCATCAAATAGTCGATATGATTGTGCAATATTAATCTCTTTATCATTTTGATAAGGTGATATATATATTGTTATGCACAAAATAACATTTTACCAGGTCCACAGCTGTCCTAACTGATCATGTACCTTGACTTAATAGCTATAATTTGTCCTTTAGTAACCAATCTCGGTCCCTTCATTAATCGAGACTAGTGCAAAAAATTTAAGTTTTTTTTAGAAAATATAGTGTGTGTGTATATATATAGCCATTATTTTATGAAAATACGAGAATATCCATATCATTGTGATACTCAGTCAGAAAGAAAAAGAAAAAAAAAGATGACCTTTTGGCATGACCTATGTCGCAGGCGAAGTCACCCGCACATCACAAGTCCAACAAGTGATATTATCACATGTGGTATGGACAATCTCATGTTTTTGGAAAATGGTAGTGTTCTTGTTTGAAACTCCTATCTATGTGTGTGTACGTGTCACACCCCTAAGTCCACGTAGGAATATAAGACATCTTACTCAACTCACCAGAAAATATTACAACTTGTTAAACATATTTAAGTAGAAGAACATCTCAGTTACTTCCTTAGTGGAATACAAAGCACAACGTATGTAATGTGATTCGTGTAACCAATGTAAGAAATTAACTGGCAACTAGCCAACTAACATGTAGTCTATAGTTACCTTGTCCTTTGCCTTGGTTGTTTTCAAAATTCTTGCTCCTAAGATGTGTGATACGGGTCAGCTAAATAGCTCATCGAGTCCACAATTTAATGGTACTTATATCTTCTATATGGTTTAGATAAAAAACATGTATAAAGTACGGAGACCTTTGTACATCATCTTCTCCAAGAAACCGTGTAAAATGTGAAAGACTTCTTAAACAATATCTTTAGATTGTAATTTTTTTTTATTAATTATAAATATACATATATATATATATATATATATATATATATATAACATATTTTAGTAACTATGAAGAAAAGTGTATGTTAAGTTTTGAAAATAAAATATGGGCCCAAGACATATTGGCATATCACTCGGACTACCGTGTGGTTTGATCGATGAAGAACGAAACGGTAGATGGGTTTTAGATGGAATTACCGTACAATGCGGTTGTTGGTACCCTTTTGTCGTAAATTCATCCGTATTGTTTTCGTTGATGATTTATCGGCAAAGATGTTGTTTTCTAAGAAATATCATTTTTAATTCTTGACATTTCTTATAATTATCATGTCATTATATATATGTTTTAAGAAATTTATTTTCAATACACAAACTTAGGTAATTTTTAAAATTGCCAAATTATTCAAGTTCAATAAATGTTCGTTAGTATCCAAACAACCGTATATATACACTAGCTTGTATATATGCATGCTTCCATCTCTTGTTCCTATACTTGTTCAATTATCTCCATTTGTTTTCTTAGTTGTTATACCTACAAATATTAAACATAATACACAATGATTAAACAAAGGTCAACCGGTTGTAATGGGTCATAAATAGCTTATATCGGGTTCACTATTAGAAAACAATGTATCAGCGACGAAAATCAGCGATGGAAAAATTCTCACGCAGATCAGCGAGGGATCAACGAAGAAAAGGCCAAAAACAGGTTCCCTCGATAATCCCTCGCAGATCACCGAGGGATCATTTTAAACTTATCTAATTCGAACTCACATTCTTTCTCTAGTGATTTGTATTAATGTGATTGATAGACATGAATGAGGGAAAAAACAAAGAAAGAAAATGTTTATATTCAAGGTGGACTTCGAAAAAGCCTTTGTCAATTTGAACTAGAAATATCTTGATGAGGTAATGTCTGAAATGGGTTTTGGGACGACTTGGAGAAGGTGGATTTAGGCTTGCATCTCCTCAGTTGAAAGTTCGGTTGTCAATGGGGCTCCAACTAAAGAGTACAAGCTTGAGAAAGGAATCCACCAAGGAGACCCTCTATCCCCCTTTCTTTTCAACATCGCGGCCGAAAGGTTGAATGTGGCTATGGCGGACGCTCTGGAAAAAAACCCTCTTCCGAAGGGGTCCGGCTCCCCAATCTTGGCCCCGAAATCTCCATTCTTCAATATGCGATGACGTCATCATCTTAAGTGAATGAAATTTTAATAATGCAAGGAATCTAATTCGGGTGTTCAGCTGCTTTCATCTTAGCATCTCGACTCAGGGTGAACCTCGGTAAAACCAGTGTGGTTCGTATCATCGAAAAATTCAACGTAAGCTATCGGCTTGGAAATCCCATAGTCTCTCTCTTAATTCGAGGGAGACTTCAAGATTCTCACTAGATACGGAGGAATAGGCTATTCCCTTTTTTAAAAATTCCGTTGGCCAGGAGATGTTGAAGTTGCATATATAATTTGTATTGTGCCTACTATCATCAACCAAGGAGAAAATATAGAATGAACATGTGGTTATAATTCCATGTTAATCTGAATCAATCCATACGCTCCCATTTTTAATAAAATTCCGGCTTCAGGGCAAAGCCAATTTCCCCRAAAGCTTGGAAAGCGGGAAAGCATTCCACCTTACAACAAGACTTGCGTTCCAGTGGTGGGCTTTCGGTCTGGTCCATTTTATACATAGTAAGAAGAGTAGCAATGCTAGATTAAGAAGGGGTAAAGCCATAACTTTGCCCTAAGCACTGAGCTTACACGAACCAAGCTGTGAAAACTATGTAGGTATATTATTTCTTGCATCATAGCCCATCGATTGTTATCAATAAACTAGAGAGTATTTGCAACCGCTTTTTCTAGAGTAACAACACAGATAATAGAAAAATCACATGGGTGGCTTGGAGTAAAACTCTAAACTCAAAGGGGAAGGGGGTCTAGATATCAGAAGTCTCAAGGTGCACGATCTTGCTTTGTTAGGCAAGTGGTGGTGGAGATTCAAAAGAGAAGACAACTCAGTTTAGAAAGATGTGATATGTGTGATTCACTTGGTTATAAATCAAGCACATGGGGCTTGATTAGCCAATTAAATTCCACCTTATCCAATTTTAATATCAATCTTGGTGACCTTTTTGCATTTAACAACAATGTTTGGAGATGAAATCCTGAAGCTAGTGGGATTTTTTCGGTTCCTGGGCTGACAAAGATGATAGACAACAATATTCTTGTTCAAGTACAACCCAAGACCTACCGGATAAAAGCAGTCTTGGAGAAAGCCAGCCTTCTGTTTTGGTATGCCCGACTGGGTAAACTCCTATACGGACCAACTTCTCTAATAGGGGAGTTGGGAGTCCCCTCTACCCTCTGTCTGTCCAGTTTGCAACATTATCGAAGAGAGAAGAGCCACCTAATGTTTCAATGCTCTTCGGCAAAATAGTTATGGGCTTTGTTTCACTAATGGTGGCTTGAGATCTAAGCTTTTGCTACATCTTTCGAGGAGGAATTGGAGCTGTTATCGAACCCTGCCAGAGAGAAAATGACCAAAACGTTGTTGTCCATAATTTTCCTAGCGGTCTCATGGGCTGTCTGGAGGAGTCCGAACGAAAAAAAATTCATAACAAGACGCAGTCCATCCGAGAAGTAGCAAATAGTTTCCAATTTCCTTTCTGTGGGTTAAAACATAGTAAAGATGGGGAGGGGAATCAGGTGCAAAATGTGGTACTGTAAATAGTTTCCAATTTCCTTTTAGTTACCTTCTCTTGAATATTTTTATGGATTCTACTGTATATCGAGTTTTATCAAGCATCATGTCGTCAACTAGACAATGGGACTTTGGATTGCAACCTGACCATGCAAGTGGAAGGGTCCCTAGCTAGAACAAACTTCATAATTGAAATTTCTATTATTGCGTCAACTAATTCTTATACAATAAGTAATGCTTTTGAAGGTGTAAATTATAATCAATCGGGAAAGACATTATTATGCATAGGTTATAGCAGATTATTGCATTTCTTATTGCTGGGACCTCAAACACATAATAACAGTAATAATTGTCGTTGAATTTTAGGCTGACATGTGAATAGATTGTAACCCTTTTAAAATCATGTTAATGTGAAAGGAATTTCATTTTTTGGGCACACAGACAGATTTGGAAAGTAGGGTTTATATATATATATATATAACTCATTAAGAGTAGTAGACATATCATCAGTTCTTTCACTTTCCAAAATGGACCCACACCCAAATAGCCAAATCCCTAATAAGATCTCTACGTGGGACAATATCGATGAAGCTTTCACACAAACTGTCTCACCGATCAACTAATTAACGGGTTCCATTTGGAAGGGTCAAAAGGGCTTAATTGAAATCTAAACCCTACCAAACTGCCACCCACCCCCACCCCAAAGGAACTCTGGAAAGAAAGCAACAAGTAATTAAAACATGGCAAAGCTGGCTGGATTTTCATCTCTATGTGCTTGCTGTTAATTGGACAACTTAAAAATGCCCCTCATTTTTTTGCTTTTGAAGGCCAAACAATGAATATATACCCTACAAGGCCATGTTCATACAATTGCCACGTTAAATTCGAGAGGATCCCACGTGTATCACATAGAATGGGCACATGGGTATTGAAAAACCGATATGAGATGATCATGAAAACTAACGTTTAAACTTGAATACTTGATTTGAGTTTGAACTACGGACATAAAATTAAATGTAGCTCAAAGCATAAGCTAGTACTACGTTCATGATTAATTTCAAGCAAACATTAAGGTTACATATCCTCGCCCTTAGAGCTCGATCTCTTATATGCTAGGCCCTATGGAAAATAAAATTGATATGAGATGGATGAGCAACAAAACTCGGTTTTAAAAAGGTTTGCTCAAAGAATATGTTAGGTAATTAACACGACTTCAAAAGTATATTTATGTTCATTCTAAGTATAAACTCGTCATAATTTAATTATAAGTTCTAGAATTGTATATAACGAAACCGATTA